AACGTCAACAGAGTACGATCGTTTCCGCAAGTATTGTGCAGGACTCTACCATCCAAGAGGCTTCCAACAAAAGAACGTACCCTGAGACATTCACAGTGGGTTGCTACTGCATGAAACTTTCACATTTAAAAAAAGGCAACTAAGAAACAGTCCTTATCAAAGGCTCACAGAGGACCTGATCACCAAAAGATGTGATGTACATTACAACTAAGGAAATTCGGAGCAGAACCGTACCACTGCTTTGAGCACCCATAATCGCCACTACGGCATATGAAACTCCCGATCGATCTAGATGATCTCTGACAATTTTGTCGACCGCTGCCTTATGAAACTCACCGCTTGCATCGATCAGCTGAGCGGCCTCTTGCTGCTCCCGTTTACCCGACTTACGCTGGATAATATCCTCTTTTGAATCGTTGAGGCATGTTCTGGAAGTTGTAAGTTCATCACCGGGGTTGAACGAGGGCTTTTTGAATGAGCCTCTCGTCGAGGGACTTTGATAAACCATATCAAAAGGGAGATTATGGTTGGGCTGCTGCTGCAAACAGATCACACACTCAAATCAGCAAGAAGTTCACGACTCCCCGAAACCACGAGAATAACAGATCGACAGGGCAGTGATAGTTCTCGATGAAACACTGTGCGGCATTCACCTCAAGGTAGAAATGCCAGCCCCGCGCCGATTCTTTGACCGGAATTGTCCTCAAATCCACTCGCGCATCAAAATGGTCGCCTCCTCGCCTTCCTCAAAACCCTCCCGTTCTTTCTTCCTTCCTGTCTTTTCCACTTTTACATCATCGACGATTTGCAGATTCTCCGATTCTCACCTAACCTCAAAAACGCAGGAAAGCACGGCCTCGCACGATCTAAACTCCCAATTGCCTTCTCGACCCCTACGACAACAGTTACTAGAAAATTTCAACAGCTCTAGGACGACGATTTCTCCCTCTGCTCTGGGCCAGAGTCGACGACATGATTACCCTAGTCCCTCCCTTCTCATTCACTTTCACCTTCACAAGTCCGAACTCCGGATATAAAATGGGCCGAGAACAAAGTGGATCGTCGATCAGATCAGCGCAGGGAAGACCGGGCGGGGGGATGAGACGAGCAGGAGGGGGACGAGAGAAGGAAGAAGTGAAAGTGGGAGGAGCCGCTGCAGCAAATCGGCGAGCAAGTAGATCATGCAAGCCAAGGAGGGAGTGGGGGCGAAGACACCAGGGGCGTTGCTGATTCCTGTACAAGGTGAGGAACCGGACTCACCGCACGAAGACAGACACGGACGAGAGCGAGAGAGCACACTCACTGCCTCCCTCCTGTCCTTACCTCACTAACTCTCTGCCCTGCCTCGCTCTCGACTCGCTTAGTTGCACAAACTTATACAAATTGCCGTACTGCCAGGTGTAAGCGATCCCAGTTTCTTTCTACTCTTTCTTGCTTCATGCTCCATTCGGGCAGCTTTGGAATCTGATGCACCAGAAACTCGGCGAGATGAGAATGAACTCGGGGAGCAGAGATCAATTTCTGATTCGCGAGGTGGTTTTCGAGCGAATCCAGGTAAAGGGTGCCACTGTGAAAACGGATCGAAGGGCCTGGAAGCAGGAGTGCTGCGCGATGGCAGAGGAGCACAGCCATCGCATGTGCACAAGAATCCAGCAGCGGACGAAGGTGGAGGCCGAATGGCCGGGAAGATCGCACAGTGCCTGGGACCTACAGGACCCGGGCTTTTGGCGGTGAGAGGCGTGCCGGGAGTAGCCGAGCTGCGCAAGAAATTGCTGCCAATCGCCAAAGAGTTGGCTCTGATGCCGGATGCTTCATGCACCATTCGGTCAGCCGGATTTTATCTCAGATTTGGGGACTTGAGTGTCGGCCTTTCCGACAACCATGTAGAGGCCGCAAAGTGGGATTCGTTGTACCTTGTACTGGAATCAGCAACGCCACCAGGGGCGTTGCTGATTCCAGTACAAGATGAGGAACCGGACTCACCGCACGCAGAAAGACACGGACGAGAGCGAGAGAGCACACTCACTGCCTCCCTCCTGTCCTGACCTCACTAACTCTCTACCAGCGTCCGGCTGCCACCTAGGACGCCACTCCTCCTGAGCATGTCTCCCCTCTGACACGTATCGCTTGTACCGTGATCTGTCTACACGAGTAGGTGATTCCGGAGATTTTGCTTTTCCCTCTCTCGGCAGTTCACACTGAACTTTACATTGGACTCCTGTAAAATCCAAAGTGAAGTAAATATCCCATAAAGCGTCACCAGGATCAAACCAAACCAAACTTCAAACAGTCTATAAATAATAATCACATGTTAAGGCACATTATCTGATATGATTGCTTTCTTCTATATTCTATTAATTGTGATTGTATACGGAGGTATATCGGCTTGAATAGTATACAAGGTAAAGAGGACGATAACGATGCTGTCTATGTTTTATAGAAGTCTGTCACTACTTTGTTGAAATCGTTATGCATAGATGTATATAACGTCGATATCAAAGTAACAAAGTGGTGAACACTCTACAAAATCTTATATTTCAAGATCTTGGATGTTCTAGTTACATTTGCGGCTCATCTGAGAGAAACTGAGTCAAGTGAATGACCGATAATAATCATATCTGGAATACTGACATGATATCCGTGAATCAAATACATGTCAACAAGCAGTTGATTCAAGATTACACTATGTCCAATTGACTTCAAACTAAACAAAAACTCCCTTTGTTTGACATTTCCATTTCTAGGATAGTAATTGATACATCATACACAATTATCTTGTGACCCGTGAATTTGAAACAAGTTATATTAATTCAAGTTAGATATAAATTAGTGTTTATCAGTTTCAACTTATCACAACTATTGATACTGCATGAAAACATAGATTTATAAATGGTAAATGATAGTAGACAAAAAGCTGAAAAATACAATACAAGCGAAAACTACAAGTATCGATAGAACAAGTCAAAACATCAAATTTTCAGTAAGGTCACTGATACAAGTAAAATAATCAAATCCATGATAGACACAATATCCATAATATATTATCTTATGAAATAACTTGGCAATTTTTGTTATTAAATAACATGTTGTATATATTGTGGAAATAATATATGTATCACAATAAGTTGTAAATATCAAGACTGACGATTGGGCAAAGAAAAACATAAGATCATAGAAATCTAATTTCCAACAAGTCATTATGTCTCTTACATAGAATTCAAAATAAATATTTTTGCAAGAAAATATGACTGATTATCAACTATTTCAAATTAAGTAAAAAAACAGAATTATGTATGTATCTAACTGATACTATTGTATTGATAAAAAGCAAAATATCTTCGTAGTTATATTCATTTTCTATCTTTACAAAGTATCGGATACGTATATCAAGTGTTAAAAAAAGAGCTCTCCGTTTTTCACCAGATTAAAAAAAAGCTACGTGCAAAGCATCAAAATTAACAATAGATAGTAGGAGACATATGAAAAATTTTATTTATCATAATTAGATAAAATTCGATTTTTTTCAACAAATTGTGATAATTATCACTATTTCTTAGATTTTTTCATACTAGCTATCTGATTTTTTAGATAAGAAATTTTATTCGTATTGGTTTCCAATTTACGTAAAAATTAAAAATTATTGATTCTGGAATATAGATTTTTTGAATGTATTTGATAGTTTTAAAATGAAAATTTCAATGATTCAAAACTGCAGAGTAAGTGGTATTGCATGCTTGACCTAATTAGGCTTATGTTAAAGTATAAATCAAATTTTCATTAGTCTATTTATTAGCATAAAATCATCATGAATGTATTCTCCAATAAATATTTTTCTCAATAAAGTAATCAAAATTTAAAGATAAAATATCTTGCAATATTTTATTACTCTATATCATTAATATTTAAATTTTGTATATTTTATTAAAATTAAAATTCATATATTTAATAAGTACAAAATTGTAAAAAAAAAGCTCAAAGTTTTGCTCACTTATTTGGTGACTTTGTAGCTATTCGAGTTGAATCGTTTTTTTTATGTTTCAATTGATTGGATGATGCAGTAGTTAAAGAAATTGAATACTTTCACAATATATATATATATACAAACAACAGATTGAAAATTTATATATTTAGAATCAAATTTATCCTTTTATCATAATTTATATTATAAAAAATATCAAAATTTATTCAATTTTGCTTGGAATATATTTATCAAGCTTTTTTTTTACATTACTTTATCATATTTAAGATAATTTGATTCCAAATTTTTCGACCAATAAAGACATATTGATCAAGATTTTAAATCCTTTCATTCGATGATCTTCATGAAATGATTGATATATATATAATTATTTATAAAATGTAAGATATAAAAAAGAAAGATATCTTAATAAGTGAAGATTCTAAATTTCAAATACCATGATGTAATGAACAACGAAGAGAGTATAGTGAAATTGATAAACTCAGATTCCTTTAAGGTTTTGAATCATTTAAACCATAAGTGCTGAATGATTTTGAATTATTGAGACAAGAAATTGAAAATTGACAAGATGAGAAATTGAAAAGAGATGGGGGACCATGTACATATAGAAAACGATTGAAAATACCTCATCAACCAAGAAAGAAATACAACTGATATATATCGAACGTGAAAGTATCTAAATGAAATGTATATCATATAAAAACTATTAAGTTTGAAAAATCACCGAAAAAGGATATTGATCATAGAAACCAAAAAGAAAAAAAGAAGAGTTGTCAATACTTGTAACTATTATATATCAAGAAGACAAAATCAGAAGTCATGAAATTACATCAAACTTCACAAATTTGCAATAAAACAAGACACCATCTCAACAAGATCAATCAGAGGCTTCACGGTTCCACTCCTGAAACGAGTCTGAATCCGGATGACCGGAGGGCTGTACCGTAGCAGTTCCTTGTCTGTTGTGTTGCCCCAAGGCCAAGGATTGTAGCAACATAGCACCTCGAGGCAGTGACTTCTTGGCTTGCCGAAGGACACGTGTCTTGAAGAGCACCCGAGCATTTCCGTTGCGCCAAGACGGGCGCGGGACGGGAGTGCGCTTTCTACGCAGAGCAGTATTGGCTACGTTTGAATGAGAATCCGGTCGCGACCCGGCGCTCTGGCCGAAGGATCGACCAGCAATGCGAAGAGCAGAGCGTTTGTACAGCTCGTCGAGTGGATTGTATCGTCGCATTCTGCCTTCGGTGGGAGAGTGGTGGTCATTTTCTGCCGAAGGATCATGATTGTGAACTTAGCTTCTGATCGCTGTAGAGCTTCGAAAGACGGAATCTGGGTATCTTTGGGCTGGAGGTTTGTCTGACTTTGAATCTGTGATAGAATTCGTCGGAGTTCGTTGAGGAGACTATTGTTCATCTACGCCATGACGATGGAGGAAGGGCAAGATGATGAGCGTCGTCGCCGGCACTCGAAGCCGGTTGCCGACAAGGCTGTTGCGGGCTGGGGTTCGGCCTTGGTCGCTGGTTTCATCGCTGCCGCCGTGGTAACTTTCTGGTTTGTTGATTCAGGCTAGATCCTCGCTGTAAGCCGGAATCATCCATGAAACTTCATTGACCTTGTTGTAGAGATGTGTCGGCGCATCTCCATCTGCCTGTGTGGCATCTTGTGAATGCCGTAGATACTGTAATGGATCAAAAGGAGGTTCTGCAGCCCAGGAGCGTGATTGGTCATGTCTCCAAATTACTCGGAACGTAATTGTTTCCTGTCTTCTAAAGTATTGGTGCAGCCTCGCGAAAAATGTTCAAAGCATGGTTGCGAAATATGACTTTGTGGATAGTAGCTCACTCTGCATTTTGTTATACCTCTTTTATTAGCCATTTTTATGAACATCTTTGTGCTTGTTATTATATTATGCAGACAGTTGGATTATCAAGCTCTTTGTCTTACGAGCTTTCGTACTGTCCCTATCCTTCGAACGGAATAATTTTAAAATTACTTAGTGCGGACGGAGTGAAGGAGATGGGATGTATCTATAGCTGATAGCGATTGTGTTTGTTCATGATCTTCGCAGTTTGCTAAGTTCTTAGCACGCTCATTTTTTTGTTAAGGTCCTAAATATTGAACCAAGCTTTGAGCAAAGCCAAAGCACTCTCCTTGTTTCTTATGCCCAGCACAACTCTCACTATATTCTGCGCAGATCGGGAATGTGCTTTCTCTTCGGCGGCGACTCGCAAATGTTCACAAGGCATCTACCCAGGTACTTCTCTATCCTTTTTTTGAATTTCAAGAGAAAGTCTTTTGCCAAAATGAGTTCAACGAGGCAGGGGTAGAACTTGCTTTGCAGTTTCTGGGCACACCCATACAGCAACTCACCAGGCACGCTCGTAGTTGCTCTCTGGAATTTGGAGAAAAGGGCAGTTCATGTGGATTTTGTCAAATTCAGCTAACAACGTATCTACCAACATGTGCTGTTGGAAGGGCAACAGGTCAAGGCCTGGTGCAAATTCGAGGCAAGGTACAAACCCTCAAGGACATGGTTCTGGCTCCCAGCAGTATAGGAAATCAGAACAACAGCAAGCATGGTCGCACTTTAAGCAGGATGAAGCGGAATCCAAACGTATGTGGGAAGAGCACATGGAAGAACTGGTATGTAAGATTAATATCTTAAGACCTTCTGAGATATTTTTACTGATTACCTTCAAGTAAGAAGTGTACCGCTAGAGCCGGCTTTGGATTTTCGTCTAACCCTGCCCTCGATTCATATACCGAGCTCATGAGGACACCAAAGGTGCATCCACGCGAAAAATTTGGGATTCTGGTTGCAAAAAGGTGGAGAACATTGTTCGGTTGCCCACATCTTAACAGACACAAGGTTCTAAAATGTACTATGTTTGGCCTCCGAGACGGTATGCAAGAGATTCTAGAGAAGCGCAGTCTTAATTATAACTATATCCCTTTAAGAATGTCACCGTATCTTCTTTCGTCAGGAACGCATAAGAAGAAGGCAAGAAGCTTTCGACCGGGAGAGGATGCGCACGAAGAGAAATTATGAGTCCTGGCAAGAACGTCACGGTGACAAATGGGAGTGGAAATGGCATGGCAATAAGTGGGAATGGTAGGGTGAAGCTGACGTCGCCGGGCCGCAGAGGGAAGGAATGATTGGTGGCGTGATGCACAAGGTCAGAAGAGTAAGAGTCGAAAAGACTCACCTCCATATGTTAGAACTTGCAGCATTGATGCAGGTTCATTTATTACAGATGCATTTGGCGGAAACTGCCATCTGTTCCTCTTTGTCCTCATTTTATAAACCGAAGAGGGCTTTGCCCTGGTGCAGTCTAGATCAGAATCTTTCTTCCACCTGTTGACCTCTTCTTTATGTCTGGATAGGTGTGGATGAGGTGGGGATACTCCCGGTCGGGTTTTCACAACTGCACAAATGAAGCCCCTCGTTCGTATTGTATCTTCCCAAATTTTAATGGCTTTTGACGTATATTTGTGAATCATATATGGGATATACACTATCACGCCTGTTGGTAAATTACCATTTTTGAAGCATATTTTCTTCTCATTCTGTCCAACTCGCGTCTTCAAATTCTTTAGTTGCTATTTGTTAGAGTGCGTTGGAAGTTTTACCTCTTCGAAGTGTGAATTTTCTCTGAAAATATTTGGTCAATCCGCTGTTTATCAAAGCGGGAGTGAGATTTGATTTGTAAGTTTCACTCACTTGACTCCCTTAGAGCCGGACAATTTATTAACTCCTTCTTCTCCGACGTAGGACCCCTAGGGTAGTGTTTCGTTTTGGAACAAGTTTGTCATATGTGTTCTCTACTTCTTGGTATGGGAGACTTTTGGCCTCGGGATCATAATCTTTACAAGATATCGGCCAAACGAGACCGTTATATTGCCATGAATTTGCCTGTTCATCTCGGTCGTGGAGTCAAATCACGTTTATCTTGAAAGGAAGTAACCGTAGTACTGGAATAGGCTAGTTCCTAACCTGGTAAGTACTTCTTGTTTCCGGTGTTTGTATGTTACATTTGCTGGAAAATATCCAATTGCTTTGCCACAATAAACTCTTTTAAACTCGCCAATTTTGATACATTTTCAAAGTACCACAATTTGAGATTTTTTTCTCAATTTGAATGACTTGACGACGACACGTGTCATCGTCAAAGGAATTTTTGCTTTTCAAGTGCTCTGTTCACAAATCATTCTTTAGATCAGAGGATGCCATCATTAGTCAGCAAGATGTACTTCAATTTGATTTTTCTACATTGTCTAGACATCTGGTGACAGATCTGCATGCACTTGAATATTCTTAGACCTAAGAGGGAAAGATTAAGTAAAGATCAAGGAAAGAATCAAAAAAAGCTAACCATAATAACACACTGATAGGGACTCAACCATGGTTGGAATTTTTGTTTGTTCAAGTTTGGTGCCTTCTAAAGTTGAAAGGTTTTCTTTGAGAGTCTTGGTTTGCTTCTTTGAGTGGTAGAATTCTTAAGATTCAGAGATTTTGGTACTCAAGCACTTGTAAGTATCTCAAAAGTAGTGTTACAAAACTGTCTAACTTAACTTTGGATTAGACTCTAGAGATACTCGGACGAGTTCTCTAGATTAGACTACAATAGAAGATTTTAAAATCTCGATTGTGGAGTAAAATGAGTATCAACAAGCGACAACAAAATCATTGCTTAACATTGAGATATGTATTTCAAGAAGTGTACATATTTACCTCGTTGTTAAAAAATCCTTTAGTTATCATATTGACAGCTAAGTACGATGGACACTTCCAGGAACAATGTGTTCATGTTAATCATGTCGTTTTTACCATACATTATCTTCTTGAATACACTCATAGTAACATTATTGTAACAAGATATAACGATATTTGTTTTAAATTAGGATTGGTTTGATGAGTGTTAATGTTTTGGTAGGTACAAATTTGGAACTTATGAATTCGATCCTCTCATGAGCACGGTCAAGAGCATTACTGTAGTGTCACACGGTTGAAATCACTAGAGCCACAACAAACTAGTCAATTATCCACCTCATTTACTCCAACGCTTCCTAATTAAGGTCTCGAAAAAGGGACTACTTAGTCATTCAGATGATTCTTGAATTTCGAATCAATATTTCTGGCCCAGCAAAATCAAAGGTTAAGATCCCGAGAAAAGAAGCCACATATGGATATAAATGTGGAGAAGATGTGAGCATACATGAGATCTATCAGTTAAAATAAAAGTATTAGAAAATACTTTAGTTAGAATGAAAACAAAGGCTCAAATAACTCTCATCGACCAGTGAAGCAGGCCATGTTGTTCGTGCGCGGCCTCCAGAAGCTCTCGTGAGGGAAAGGGACGTGGATGGCTCGAATCCTTCCGCAGGCCGGGTCGTAACTGTAGAACATGCACATTTCTCTACTGTACCTAGCTACGAGGCCGACCTCCCGCTCCGACCAGGGAGCAGCCCGACCCCCCGGGGAGGGCCGCCACGCTCCATGGTTTAGGGTTTAGGGGAGCCCTTAGTGACGAGGCTAGCTACGGTCTCACACAGAATGCACCTCTCTCGCGGAAAACTCTTCCGTAGCCTGTTCATCGATACTGGCTATGAGGTGACGTTTTAGATGGACCTCCGAATGCTGACCGTAGAGAATTCGGCAACCTTGTGCAATTCTATCTCTGTCCAAGGCACGGAATTGGAATTACTGGACAGGAAAATAACGCCAAGTGAAGGCTTATACGTACACGGAAAGGGGAAGGGATACTCTCTCGTCCATCCTTTGATCGAAGAACATGTGAAGTGTGTACCTTGGCACTCGGTGACCGACCTCCGGGACGGGACAGCAGAAGACCTCGACCACCGCGGGAATGACCGGCTCCACCGACGATCGCCAAGTCTCATGCGCCGAGTTCGTCCGGATGCTCGGTGGTATCGAGCGCCGCCGTGAACGGAATGAAGGACGGGCGAGGCTCCAAGAGCGACGATGGTTCCACTAGACTTCCCGAGCGGAGTCGAGTCTCTGGACCTCGTTGTTCTCGACGGCCTGCTGGGGACGGTCACGTCGCCGAATTCAACAGCAGATGTCAGGTTTCCTCAGGCAAATCCCACTCAGGCTTTTGCGGTCCTGCCAGGGAACTGCCATGGAGATAATAACGAAGCATTATCGGATTTTTGGATTGGATATAGCTGGCCTTCGATGGTGACATGGCCAGTAAAGCGATTGAAATCATCAGACTCAGTTTGCAGCATGTTGCGTGTGAGTTCACCTGTTTTGAACATCAGGGACAAGGGCAGGTATTATACTGCAGTCATTGGATTGAAGACTTGACAAATACATAGTGTGTCCTCTAAACTAACAAAGTACGTGCTGTCGATTTGTCGAGGGAAATGTGATCACGAGATAACCCATTAGTGGGATAGTAGGGGACGACCAAATAAACAACCCATTTTTGGAAATCACCATTTAAATGCTCTTTGTTAGAATATCCATCTCCAATAGTGCAATGTTGGAATGGGCACGAGGTTATTATTCTCTACAATTCCATTTGGATTCAACATTTATTTTACGTGTCATGCATGCGTAAGCATATCATACATTTTCAGCAAGGCCAGCGCTTTTGATATAAAAGTAATCAGTTGGTGGCACCTGAAGGTGCAGATCTAGCTGATGCATATGCAGCTAGACAAGCTTTTCTACAACAGTATTGGCACCTACGATTTCTAGTTAGGAGAAATTTGTGAGCCCGATTCAAGAGCAGTGTTAGCTGGTAATTTGGTTGACACTCTAAATGCGAGTTTGAACTTGAATCGTTTGGTTCATGGACTGCAAGATATGTAGAAATGACCAGACCCTGTGGAGGCTCAGTTATTGGACCGGAGAATGAACTAATCCGCAAACTGTAAATGTTTGTTAAATCTTGAGTACTAACCTTATTCATACATATTGGCAGCTGTTTATTCTGTTGAAGGTTTTAAAGAGATAGCGGTATATGTGAGGTAATTTACAGTTAATTCTTATAAGTCACGGTAGCATAAATACCAAGTTTCGTGATGTCCACAAATCGTTTAATAACATTATTATTTCTCGATCCTTCAAATGATTCTGCTGATCATACCTCTCGTATGTAATTCAATGTTTGTCCTCTATGTTACTACTGGGGAAATCCAATGTGGTGTCTGACTTAGCACTTGCTAGCATTCTGAGCACCAACACAGGGCTGGAGCACTATTAGCTGAGGCGATTGATTTCGATAGGACTCATCCTTTAGGGCTAAGGCACTCTGAATCACTTTTACATGTTCAAGGGTGTCATATACATCAAATCCGATTATTATTCATATTAATCTGATCTGAATCTTGACGTTAGAGAGCATTCGAATAAGGAAGACTGCATTTTATTTCAGAATAGGGCCAGCGCTTCGATGAAGATTAACATGTTTGTGAACATATGTAGAATACGTGCAATCAATTAGCTTTTTGACGTGAATTTAATCATCGAAATGTGTAGTTTTCAAATAAAGAAAGGTCAGTTCAAGAAATTTTTTTAATCGACCACTCACATATCCAAATCATTTCCAAAAAACCCATCTGAAACATTCAATTTGAAGAAAATAAGAGGAAATGCTTGTTTATTTATTCAGTTGCTAATTTTTTTCAACCTTTTCTTTTGACTTTGAAATCACAATTTCACTTTTAATGACAAATAAAATCATTTGGAATTTCATCTACGTAACTGCAAATCTGGATGAACCAACCCAAATCAACATTGATTGGCTCCCAATAAAAACAAATAATTTCAAAAGTCTTGGGTTTATATTCTCATATCATTGAATATATCATTGAATCAATCCAGGTTCACTATTAGGTAAAGTAGACTATATAGACATGAATTGAGGTCAAAATTATGCGGAAGTTATTCAATCAGAAATCTCAATTACAACTTCCACACGTAATTTTTACGGGAAGATATCGCTGTATTAATCAAATTTGCAATGCTGTATATAGTACATGTTATTATCTCTATACCTTGGATGTAACCAGGTTCCCTCTCATTTTCCATTTGCATAGCAACAAAGGCTTCAACTTGACCATAGAGAATAGTATACCCGGTACCTTCTGGTTTCGTCAACCAGCATCAGAGGTATGAGGTTTAACAACCCATGACTTCGTCAGAAAAAATCTGACATGGTGTAAACATGGGAATAACCACCACGATTCGTCTGGCAGTTATTCGCAATTTCTGACAGACCATATGTTATTTCTCAAAAGTACACTGAAGCAGATAACATAATCTCTGAATTGCCCGAAAGAGTCCATATTTTCAGACCTTTCTAGTGTTTTGGAAGATTTGTCAAGCGCGGTGGAAGTTACACATGTCGTTCATGGTCGTATTCATATGTAAATCAGGTGCATGCAGAGGCATCAAGTAGATCAAATAAAACTTGTCACAGTCTTCGACCTACCTCGAATTTATTCATAGACTAGTACAAGGAGGT